ATATGAAGCATTTTTAAGATTCCTTTTCATGGTTTCCTCTTGAGCTACAATTTCAAGAGTAAAAAGGGAAATGCATTATGAACTGGGTTTTGCCCCCAAATGAATCACTCAGCAGATACTTGTGAGTGGGGGAGCGTGGGTTAGGAAAGGGATGTTGTAAAGCAGTCTTCAGAAGCCACACCAAATGGTTGGCTGCCATTGTACCCTAACCTAGTTCCTTCCCCTCTTTTTTGCTCATATCTTCATATCGATCCCCTTTCATGACATTCAAGAACGTGGATACTCCTGGTCTGAAAGGAAGGCAGAACTGTGAAGCATATGTTGTAAACCATCATCTTCATTATTCTTCTACCTAAACCTAGAGTAATACGGCTGACACCAAGCAGCAGTGCTGAGAGCCTGGCACTGAGAACTGCAAGCAACAGCTTACAGGAACTGCTCACCTGCCCTTACTGCTCAGAGGGCCTCTATCTTTCAGAAGATCTTGGTGGATTTGTCTAACTTCTTTTAGGGCATATAACATTTCTTAGGCATGCCAGATGATAAAACGTTCCAAATCACCTTAAACTTTCTTCTCCATCCTTGGACTTCAGAGACTCTGAGGGAAAACTTTTCCCGGAGATTTATTTTAGGACTGTAGATTTTACATTTGGGGTTTTGAATATCCACCATTCAGTAACTGATAGAACTAATCAACAAAAATAGAGAGGATATGAATGACAAAATGAATTAACGGGATCTAACTGATCTGTAAAGACTTCTACCCAAAACAGCAGAGTATCTACTTTTTCATCAAGGTACATCATATTCTTGGCCATAAATCAACCTCAAAAATTTTATAAGAATTGAAATCATACAGAATGTGTTATCTAACTATAATGGAATCAATCTACAATAAATAACAGAAAGACAACAGGAAAATCTCCAAACACTTGGGCATTAAACAACACACTTCCAAAAAATCCATGAGTCAAAGACGAAGAATCAAAGAAAATTTAAATGTATATACAGATGCATGAAAATGAAAATATAACATGTCAAAATATGTGGGATACAGCTAAAGCTGGACTGAAAGGGAAACTTGAAGCACTAAAAAGTTTACATTACAAAAGATAGAAGATCCAGAATCAACCATTTAGCTTCCTACCTGAAGAAAATATAAAAAGAATAGCCAAACAAAGCTAAAGTGAATAAAGTGAAATAAATAAATAAATAAATAAGGATAAGAGCCAAAGTCAGTGAAACTGAAACAATAAAATAACAGTAAATCGATTAAAGGGCTGATTCTTCAAAAAGATCAGTAAGTGATGAATCCAGCAAGATCAACAATAAAATAAAGTTAAAAATCACCAATATCAGAAATAAAACAAGATATCACAACATATTCTGAAGCTACTAAAGAGATAATAAAAGAATACAACCCTCAAATTTATGCACCTAACTCCCAGAACTAAGAAGAAACGGGCCAATTCCTTGATAATCGCAACCTAGTGAAACTCCCAAAAGATGAAATAATCTTAATAGTCCTACAACCATAAAGGAATTGATTTATAATTTAAAAGCTCTAGAAATTATCATAAAATTTCAGTATTTGACCACTGACAGAATCTATTCTAAGACAAGACACTCTCCCTTCCAAGTGTTTAAAATCCAGATTGATTTAAAACTATCCTGGCAACTGTATTTCTTTGTAGTCCTGGGTTATTAATAAGTGTCTAATAAAATTTTCTCCCTCTCTGGGGGTACCTAATATCATATTGGCAACAGACAATGTCTTCCATTAGAGGTATTTCTATATTAAAGGTTTTTAAATATATTAAAGGTTTTTAAATAGCTGCAATTTCCATACATCACTGCAAATCTATCACTTGATTTTCCATAGTTTCTTAACATCAGTGACATTTATTTATGATCATCACTAGCATCAGATCTTTCTTTCTCATGTGTAGGACTTTGACTATCTATTGATAAGGTCAAGAGAACAAAATCACCAAGAGGAAGAATTATGTCCCCCTGCTGGTCTTCAGTGTACCTTAAGTGTCCTCTTAAATCAATTGCAGGGTATCCAGTTTCCTTCATAAAATTTCGCTGTCTATAGTTTTAAGCCCTAGGAAAGAAGTGGTAACTGACAGAGGTTTCAATTCTGTCGAGAATGTAGGAAAATGAAGAAATGTTTTTATAGCAATTAAATAAATATAGCAAAAACTGCCAGGAAGCCAACTGGGATTAAAATCTCATTTGATTTTTACTGGACATAATTTTGTCCCACTCACATGCTAAATCATATGACAGCTAAGGATGCTATGAAACGAGCTGGTGTCAGTACCAAAGGAGGATAGGAGAGGGTCAGATCCCAGGATGCAAGACTGCAGGAGACAGGAGAAGGAGCAATCAGAGCATCTCTGTGAGACAGAAACATACTTACACGAGTCTAGAGTTTGACTTAGAGACAGAGGAGGCTTATCTACAAGATCCTCCAGAAAGCATGACTTTTACCATGATCTGAAAAGGCTCTTTCTTCTATGAGAGTCCATGTATTGAGTTTCTCCCACAAATAACTCTGCCATACTCTATTGAAAAGTCTCTATTGCCTTCAGTAAGCTGAGCAAAGGCCTTCCAAACCTGTAGGACCCAGAGCCTCTAGGCATTATCACACTGCCATTGTGCAAGCTCTGTTGCTTGGATTTTATTAGCAGAGGTGATTCTTTGCAAGGGCCAGACATACCACCTGCCTTCCCCCAAAGTGGTCAATTCAGCCCGCAGTGGAAACTGTGTCGGGATGTTGGACCAGATAACAGGTGTCATGATCACAAAAGCCAAGAAATCAAAGGTCTAAGTCTGTCCATGTGTACTGAAATTGTCATTTCTGGGGAAGATACTGTTCAGAAATCATTTCCCTTTTCTCACCCTCTCCACCTTCCACAGACCACATTAACTGCTTCTCATGTCCTTGATGCCTGAAGCATTGCCCTCACTTCTATTTGGAGCATGATATTGCTATACAATGCATTCCTATTACACTGTCATGGTCATTCCTTGGGGATGGCATTGTCATGGTGATGTGTGAGCACTGGGCAAGTCAAAGCCACTCAAGGGTCACAGAATAGAGTTGGGACCAGTTAAGTCTTTCTGAAACCCAAGGAGGAATTTCTGCAGCTCTAAATTCTCCCACATATTTTACAAAAGAGAAAATGTCATGCATATTTTCCCTACCACTGTTAGTCATCAGTGAAGTTAGTGGAGAGGAGAAACAGCAATATAGGATTCTGGGGGAAACTCTAGACTTGCTCTTACTCGAATTCTGTTGCATTTATGCATTCGACCTTCACATGCATTCGACCTTCACAGCCCCTCACCCAGATCCTGAGTTTATAGGCTTACTGGATTCCAGCACGTTTGCAGCCTTTCTATGATGATGTTCCACAAGTCTGAAATATTTCTCTAGACAACCATCACACCATGACACTAAGCTAAATAAAAACTAGATCATTACAATGAGACATCTATGTCTTTCCTCTCCTAAATGCATTGGTAACCAACAGGAAAATTCTTCACTGATTCTGAACCAAGGTCTAGGAGATTATAAATTAATTTTTTTAAATAAACATCCTCAGGAAAAAAAAGACAGGCTCGAAATACAAGCAATATATCTCTATAGTCTACAGCCAAACTGAGAGCTCAGTTACCACCAAAATAGTAGAGAGAATAACATTTTCCAACAATCAGAAAACACTGCCAAGTGCTTTTCTTAAAATAACTAATAGTTTGAAACTATTTTTGTTCTTACGACAGTAGAAGTATAAAGTCCATTCTGAGGTCAAATATATTCTTCCCTGAACAAACATAGTGTTGAAACAAGACAAAATCTGGCTGGCTGCCATAGGTTTCTGTAATTCTCCCGCAGACTTTAAATAGGTCATAAGATGAATTAAAGAACACACAACCATCTACAGTATAGAGCGATTTAATTCTTTCTCCACTCTGACCAAATGCTAGCAATGTCAGCATTAGTATTCTTAGGGTGTCTGTGATTGGTACTGCTCCTTGGCAAAGATTGTGGGTTTCTTCCCATAGCTTGTACAAAAAAATGGTACATACCACGGATATGTTACATACATATATCGGTACATATTACATGTGCATACACATATATTCGGTGTAGCAATGTGATCACAGAGCAAAGCATTCATGAGCAGCAGCAGGGAGCATGTGATCTTTAGGGTGACCTACTTACTGAAGGCAGCTTCTCCCAGTCAGGTGGTCTTCAGCATGACAATTAGCAGTTTTTCCCACAGTTTGGTCAGCAGGAAGGACACAGCGCTCTGCCTAGCTCAAGTCACTCAGCCCTGCTGGGTTTCTGCTGCTCTCTGGGGAACGGCATTCCGTTAGGAGTGTGACACAGTAGGGAAAGAGACCGGTTCACTGTGAGACCTGCTACTCACTCTCGTACAGTGTATCGGCCCCCCTTCCCACTGCACAGTGGCTGCCGGGCCCTGGGCAGGAGGCACACGTGGCCCTCGTGAAAGTGAACCACGGAGTCAGAGTTCCACCGAGACACACCACGCTGCTTTGTCGGTAGCTTTCTTCTAGAGACAGTGCTTTTTAGGATGGTATCAAAACAACCTAATTTGGTTTCCCTAGCCTTAGGGACAAGGGAAGCACTCTCTTTAAGATAATGAGGGAAAAAAAAACATGAACTAGGAAGACAGGGATGTGGTCAGCTCTCTGCTTTAAAATAAACTGAGATGATCCGAAAATAATTTGTGGAGGCTGTGTTCAGCATGCATGCCTGGGAGGCTGGACGGAGGTGCGCCTCACCTCCTTCTTGTGCCTGCTTCTTTTGCACACAGAGTTGATCAATGCTCTGATGGCTTCTCTGGGGAGGGGAACATGCTGTCTGAAATCACCACACTTGGGCACTCAACCAACGAGTACACCTATGGAATTCACCGTGAAGACGATTGGGCTGGAGCACAGAATGCAAAAGAGACTCCAAGTACCTGCTTGCTGAGCTGCCTGTGGCATCTGCTGACCCCTCTGAGCACTGTACTGAACCGAGGCCATGGGCCGGTACTGCTGCGTGGCTGAGGTAGGGTACTGACCAGACGGGTAATAATAGACAGGCATCTGGAAGACAGATAGGCAAAAGCGGAGAATGAGGATCAAACATAAGCCTTTTCTCACATAAAACACCCTGCCATCTATGATGTCACATGATCGAAGTAGATTGTAAAGAGGGCCCACCATAAACTTCTGCCTGGCCTGTGTGTATGGGCATGTGCCATGTATATGTTCTCCTGTGATGAGGTGGAACCCATTCTCCAAGCCCTTGAAACTGAGCTGGTTCTGAGACCCACTTTGACCAGTGCCATGAGACAGAAAGACTTATAAGCCTGAACCTCAGAAAAAAATATGCACCTTTTACTCCTTCTGGAGAAGGACCCAGCCACTAAGCAAGGAAGTCCAGGCTTTCTGCTCTAGAAAGAGGCCATGTGGAGATCAGAGGCACCTGGACTCACAAGACACCCTCAGTTGTGGGCATGTGTGTGAGCCCTGGTCAAATCACCTTAGCCGGTACCATACAGAGCAGAGAGGAGCTATCTGTGATAAGTCTGGCTCCATTGCTGACTTAGTCATGAGCCATACAATGGTTTTTAAAAGTCTACCAAAGCACTTTGCAGAGTGGTTTGCACACAGTTAGAATCTGGAAAATTTATGTTCAATATAAAAGGGGAAATATCATATGTTAAAATATCATTTATGTCACCCTCTGTAACTTCCTAATGACTGAGTATGAATGAAAAGCTTCTAATTACTTCCACTGAAATAATGTATCTTCTGATCTGGAAGGACTTCTTTGACTGCCTCGGGTCATTTATATTAAGGCTACTTTCCTACTGATCTTAGTTAATTATTTTCCTTCTTCAGGCCTCAGACTTTTCTCCTATCATCTTTTCTAAAGTGAAAATGGAGCCAACCCCGTAGACAGCTTATGAGTATTACATGCATAGAATAAAATTATGAACCAATTATTTGGGAACTGTGATTTTATGGCTATTTTATTTTCTGATTTGCTCATGTCAAATAGGAAATATTTTTCTATTTCAATCTTGCTATTGAAACACATAGCATATTTTCTTCCCTCAGGATATAGTAGGAACAAAAGATAACAGAATTTTTGTGACTCTTGTTCTGCAATTCCATGAAATCATTACGAGTAATAATTCTGACTACCTAATAATATGGACATTCAAGGGTAATGGGCTGAATGAATCTAAAACAATCACCAGTCTGTGTCTGGCAACTGATTTATTCATTGCATACATTGCTAATAGTAACTTAACCCTTTTTTGGTGAGGCAGTTTACAACAATAAAATCTTAAATAATTCTGGTGAAGTCATAGGTTTTAGTTTTGCTTTGGTAATTTGTGGTGCAATGAAAGATTACTACAATTATGCATCACATTCTCCCAATATTAAGAACAGCTACTACACTATTCATTCATCAGCATTATATTTGCATGTTTTTTTTAAAGAAGAATAGCATTTTATTTCTTAAGAAGAAACTGTCTGGGTGAAATATAAGCTTCTGAATATGATATCCATTCCTTGGCTTTCCCTATTATGCTCAATATGAAATGTTAAAATATACCTTTAAGGTTAAAGAATGGAACTCAAACACTTGAAAAGTTCCTAATGAGCACTAATGATTTGGATAAATGTCAAATTTCATGTAAACCTTTTAAAAAGCTACTTTTTAACAAATTGCACTGGGAAGTTGGTCACCTCTGTCCAGCACGTCTCCACAGTACAGCAGAGCACCAGTTGGAGGAATGAGGACCTCCATCCATGTGAAGGAAGGGACACTTGACCCGCCCTCCTTACCCCAGTGAGCTGGGGTAAGAGGAACCTTTTAAAGGATCAATATGAAAGGTTCCAAAGAAGAAAGGGGCAAGAGATGTAAAGCTAGTCCAAAAGGAAGAAATGTTCATTTTCAACCAACCATATTAAAATACGAAGAATCCAAAGATGGATGAGAATAGGAAAGACATACATTAGAGAAAGAACTATAGAAGATAAGCACTCTCCCATTTCCCTTCTTCAATTCCTCTTTTCCTTGTTCATGTGTTTCCTACTTATTCTTTCTAGTGGGCATTCAGAAAGCACACACAAGTCAGAGAAAATTGTCCTTCAAGGTTATTCTCTGCACAAATACATTTCCATAAACATCCATGGGCTGAGTCCCACCTGAGTTGATTTCCATTGTTCTATAGTTAGGTAACTAGAGTTTAAAATGTTCACTGCATTGAAAGATATTATATGCTATAACCTATACCACTATCTGTGGTTCTTTAAGAAAGATGTTCATAAATGTCCAAACTGATCATGAACTGTCTCTGTTTTTCCTCCATTTCTTCCATTTTTTAAAATCCGTTGAAGAGAAAATGAAAGTATTTCTGTTGCAGACACAGCAGAGGTTTTGAATTGTCTTTTCTTTTTCTGTTCACTAATTTTGAAATTCCTTCATTGGGGAAGGACTTTTTTTTTTTAAGTGTTCAATTAAGCACTCTGCCAATTTCCTCTGACAACAGAAATGGGTAAGGACACTTAGATGTTATTTAGTCTACAAGAGCTAAGCAATTTCTCCAATAATTAAAGTTGAAGTATTTAATTTATTAGTAAAATAATTAATATATTAATAAAGTCCTTTCTCCTGTAACTTAAAGTTATTTTACACATCTCCTTAAATCCCACTAGGGAAGAAATATTATTGAGACACAGACTGAGGATGAACTATTAATTAATCACTCAAAATAAAATGAACAACTGACTGAAAATCATTTCATGGTAGATGGTTTTGTGTGTCTGGAAGACAAAATAATTTATTCAAGATGTTAAGGCAATGAAACAAGTGATACAAAGGTGACACTGCACTTTAAACAGCTCGTCCAATGCGATGCTTCATAATCAGGATGGAATTTGCTCGGGATATGTGTGCCTTGAAAATGGACCAGAAAATGTCTCTGTGCATTTTACATCTTGACAGTAATCACTTCCAATATTCTGTAAGGGATACCCAGGAGAGCACTGGAGATGTTTGGTGGTGAACAGTAACACATAATCAGTCTTTGGGAAGACAGTAGAAATCAGTGATCTGTGGTGTCTTACATGCTCAAGTCAATTAAATATGATTAATGGCTACCTGTGAGAGCAGGCGTGAGCTCTGCTTCCCCTCAGGGAGAGGAAAGGACAGTAGATATTTGGTTTAACTTCCTCCTTTATATTCATAGAGGAGCTACTGCCTGGAGCATCAGATTAGCTCCGGAAAAATGCTTGTGAATTGATAAGAGGGAGAAACCACATTTCCTGAGCAGCAGGAAGAGAGGGTTCAGGGTCCCCTGGGGACAGGCCTTCCCTTCCTGGGCAATCCCAGGAACAGGGCATCACATGGTAGCAGAGGCTTTTCACGGCCTCTGTACCAGCAGCCTGAAAAAATGGACCTTCCCTTGTCATGCCGTGGGGGGTTGGGTCAGTTTCCTTCAACTTCCTTTCTGAGCCATATGACTGTGCACAACTAATCAACAGAAGGACAAAATAAGTCCTGGGGGTGGGGAAGACCTACAGGAACCAGAAAGGGAAAGGCAACTTGACCTCAGGTGACATTCTATATGGAAAGACCGGTCAAAGTGCACCCACCTGTGCAGCTGCAGGCTGTTGCACAAATCCCTGTGGGGAGGGAGGGGCCTGAAGAACTTGCTGCGAGATGGGTGGGCCAGAGCCGGAGAACCCCCCTGTAGAAAGCTGCTGGCCCGTAGAGGCGATGACATAGCCGGGCTGCTGGGTTGGCTGCGGCAGGAGGGAGGATGGGTAGACAGGACCGGATGGTGGCGGCTCGGGAGTCTCTCCTGAGGACTGACGGCTCAGGTTCATCTGGCTGAACTGTGTGGCCACATCATCTCTCTGCCAAAGACGGGGAAAGAAGAGGAAATTAGGATGATCAACTTGGTAACAAGAACGTTAACATTGAGGCACACACAGGACACACACTTATAATTGGGGGAAAAGGAGGAAGTATGAACTGAAAAAAAATAAAGGAATAATTCAGTCAGAACATGAAAAAAGAGTATTGCATGAGAAATCAGGCGTTCATCATCTTAAGAACTGGAGATGGTAAACAATTTGACCCAAATATCCCTCTTCAATGCAAGCAAAATATTCTTTCTAGATCGAGGGCTCAGGATCCTCGGGATGGGTGCTGCAGACAAGGTGATGATGCTTGTCGTGCCGGGTCCTCAAGGGTCAGCTGGTCTCCCCAGCAGCAGTCATGGATCTGCCTTCTGGAGAGAAGCAGACATACCTACTCATCACCACCCACAGCTGCTGCAAAGGTGGAGTTAGGATGGGAGTCACCAACAGGGTGGGTGGGATTACATGCCTGATTCAGGGAGCATTCGTTTACTGTCAGGGCCTGAAATTTAGGGATAATAATCCAAGCTACTGCCTCAAAGGATCTATTGCATTGAGGGTAAAATGAAAAGAAACTGGGGGACTGGCTTCCAATGGGAATACCTGCATCAAGAGCATAGGGTGATAATAGTTATGCTACCATCTTGACTCTGACTTTGAGATATTCCCCAAACCTTCACACCAAATTCATGTTTCTCTCTGTTCCTGACTTGAGAGCCTTCAATTCCTTCTTAGCTAGTAAGCTTTCTTTTTTTAAAGGTACCAGATTATAGAAGCAATTAACATTAGACAGATAACAGAAAGGAAACAAGAGATGTCTTACAGAGATGGGTTGCATTGTTCAGGGATGAGACATTCACACACAAACCCCCACCTCGCCATCAGCCCAGGACACCCACCCAGGATCAGCCCAAGCTGCACAGGAAAACAGCAAACCAAGTGAATGAGCTCTCCCAGGGGAAAAGCCACATTACATATAATACAGTACCATGGGGAAGTGCTGCGTTGGAGACACAGGCAGGAGATGCTGGGGAGGAAAAGAGACTGCCGGATATTGCACTGACTGGGAGGGTGCCTGCAGCCCCTGGACAGACTAGGGGGAAGAAAAAGCTGATCAGGAAACAGGAAAGCACAGGTGTTGAGTCCCACAGGAAGTGTCTGCTATACCTAATAGGTCCTCTAGGATCAGTGCAGCCCAGGGAGGAGAACCAGCCCCCAAAGAAAAGTCAAGGCCATGCAGACCAGACTGACACAGCCTTGAGGGAGGCTAGTTTGCACAGAGGGAACACTCCTTGGAGAAGTTAGTGATGTCCATTTGGTGTCGGTGGTGGTTAGATTCTCTAATTCTAAAAGTACTGCCCAAGGTCTAAGAAATAAGAAAAAAAAGTAAAAAGAGGCTCATTCTAGTTGCCTATCTAGAATGCTTCAGGTTCCTGTGGCTATGTCCACATGTCTCCCTAGGAAAGGAGGCAGTTCTGCATCTTTCTAAGAGGCATGAGGATGAACAGCAGTTCACTTGGAATTGATTGATTTCCATTCCTCCCATTGATAACGAGTTCAATACTGACTCTTTGCAGACATGAGCATCGGATCTGTGATGGAAATGGATAAGCAAGATGATACACAGCCTGGATGGCATTATGAGTTCAGTCTGTAAGACAGACACTCCTCAATACATAAAAACAGCATCTAGATTTAAGAAAAAACATCTTCCTTTTCCCTATGACCTGCTCTCCCTCTGCAGATACATGCACTGGAGTGGGTATACATTTCTATCTAAACTTCAACATCAGATGAAATTCTATCAACCCTGCAACAAAGAATGCTAGATTGACAGGTTTTACTTGTGAGTGGCATCCCTAGAAAATACACCTCCTTCCTGGTCACTGCTGCTCTGAAGGCAATGCAGCCTTCATCTGGGAATTCTCCCCCTCCAGGGCTTCCAGCCAGCCCCTCACCTGAGTGACCAGAGGGCCTGCCATCTGTGGCTGTGGTGGCTGCACCTGCTGCTGAGGCTGCGGAGAAGGCTGCTGCTGAGGCTGCTGCGGGGATTGTCCCACCATCGTGCTCCGCAGGGGCTGCTGGCTGGCAGGAGGGTTGTATATTGCAGGAGTCCCATCGGGATTCACAAAGGGCTGACCTGCAATGGGATCAGAGCTTGATCCAGGTGAACTTCTCCATCTTTCCCTAACTGAAAGAAGCACTCTGATAGATACTGCAAAATTAGCCTGAAGTGAAGGGGGAGGTGGTGGGAATCCAAACACCAAAACCTCCACCAGAGTGAAAGTTTACTGTTTGTGATCCAAACTAGCTGAGGTTAGATGACAGTGTAAGCCCATAGCAATTTAAGAAGCAGAAAATAAATCCACCATCTTCAGGGAGCTTTGCCAAAGCTCAGTGTTCCTGTGGACAGTGGCATCCAGTGGAGAAACCTGCGGAGAAGCAATTTTCACAAAGCCGACATGTTGTGCTGCCGGGTACCTCACAGCCATCACTGAGATAACACACACTGAGGGGCATGGCTGCTTCCCATTTACACGACTTCAGCTACCCACAGTCACAAGTTATTTGACCATACATTTATTTTGTTTCCACTAAGCCTTGTTGCCAATTCAGACTCATCATCAGTTCCACAACTACCTAGCCAACAGAACATAATGCATCCATTTGCTCACTTCTCTAAGTGGACATAACCAGGGATTTATAGGTTTCCTATTTTAAAGATGATGCATGATAAACTCATCACAGAATCATCTTGCAATGGAGCTTATATATATACATAAATTATTTTGCCTTAGGAAATACTGCATGTTTCACTATAGCTACTGTTGCTACTAATAATATTGTTTTATATTTGAGGAGTAGTTTTTTTCATTTGCAAAATAGTATCATTTCAGCCTCATGATGATTCTGTGAGGAAGAAAGGTAACCTCTCTGCTTTTCAGAAAAAAGAAATGAAGGCTCACCAGAAAGAATTCCGGAATACAGAGATGAAAGGAGAGAGAAGGGCAGCAAATGGCAGAGAGGGAAAGAGGAGGTAAAGGAGAGAACAGCTGATTTCCAACGTGACAGGGACCTTACATGCACCATTTTAGTTCTTCCAACAACCCCATAAATATGCAATCTCATTTTCATTTTGTTCTACTTTTGTTTTCTGATAAAAACATCATCGTTTCCATTTTAGAGATTTTAAAAAAAATCAGGGCTCAGAGGGAGGTGAGAACTTATTCCACAATTTAAAAAAAAAAGTGAGAGAACCAGAAAATTATTTGATCAATAATAAGACTCCAAAGTCCATTCCCTTTTTCTGTTACACCAAAATAACTTAATTGAATTATCTAAGTATACATAATGAGTATATGGCACAAGAAGAAATCTTAAGGTGGGAGAAGAAACAATCAAAATTGGAAGTTATTAATGAATGAATGAGAAGTCAGAAGAGGTATAGGATGTGCTTCAAAGGAGAATCTTACCCAGTATTGGCAGAAAAAGAATGAGAAGAAATAGAACATGGGAAATGGACAGATAAATTGTAGAGCTGCTTGTGAGCATTTTCTTCCTCTTTCGATAGCCCCCGAAGCCCTTATTGGAAAGGAAGACAGGAGGTTTGTCTACCAAGTGGAATTCACAGAAATGTTCTCTAGAAAACTGAGCTAATGCCTGGAAAGAATAGGGCCCCCAGACTGGGGCTGCTGTTTCCAAGAACGGCCTCCACATCTCGGCATCAGGCCGATGCTGCAGACAGATGTCAAGGGCTCCTCAGGCACATAAGCAAAGCCTTGCAGTCTATACACTGCTCTAAGGCACAGGGTTTACATGAACATTCCTATCCAGGGCTAGCAGCATGTGACAGCAGAGACAATAGCCTTTTCTTTAACAATGAAGATGAAGAACAACAAGGAATCGATGTTTATACAAGAAGAATAGCAACAAAAAGGGATGAGGAGAGAGGGATACAATTGAAAAACTCATCAAGAAGAAACAGAATATTCTAGAAAAAGGAAGTACACATGGTACTCATACAACAAGAACAAATGCTATAAAATGGGAGCTATTTATTCAAATAGGCTACATGAAAGAAATCAGTCCTAAAAGTCATCTATTATATAATTCCATTTATTACACATAAGATCAGACAGAACTAATTAATGGGCAATGGAAATCAGAACTGTGGTACTGCTGAGGGGGCATGAGGGAATCTACTGGAAGACTAGACATGTTACATGACTCATTCTGGATCACGTTTACACAGGTGTTCACATATACAAAGATTTACCAAGGCCTAAAACTTCCAGTGGGTGCAGGTCACACACTCTACCTATGTGTTTTTATTCCTCAGGAAATTAAATTTAAAAAGTAAAATGGAACAGGTTGGGAGGGCAAATACTGAGGCTGCAGTAACACCAAAGAAAATGCTCATGGGTAAAGAGCAACAGACTTGGTGATCAGACTGTAACAGGAGCGTAGTGTCCTCCATCACTACCAAAGAATTTGAGTGCATGTATATTTGTGTGTATATAACAAGAAGTTTTAAATACTGCATATTTGTGAACATGAGTGACAGGACTAAGGAAGTTCTGATAATAGTTTCATGACCACAGCAATGTTCTGTGATGAGAAAATAAGTGTACCAGAAATATATTCACAGAATGATGACTAAATCTAGAGTTATTTTTTATGTTCTGAATATTCCAGGCACTTGTTTTCTCACCACTGACATTTAATTTTAGCTACCTTTCATTGTTTTACATCTATTTCCTTTCTTAAAAAAAAAAAAACAAGTTTGTTCTAGATGCAAAACCTGCAATTCATTTCCTGACAAAGCCAGTCATTTGGGAAAAGATAAAATGTACTTCATTTTAAAAAAAAATAATGCATCAGCCTATTTAGTGCTCTAGTCCTTGGTTTTCCCATTTTTGTTTGTTCTGTATTTAGAAAGACCAAAGAAAAAATTTAGATATTTCACTTTAAAAAAATATCTCCATAGCAGCAATAAGGCTACAATTTTGTTTGAACTTATTTCAAACTCAGTCTCGCTCTGTGCTTACACATATATGTACACACGCGTGCATGCACACACACACACACACACACACACAAGACAGAAAGCATAAAGAAAGGATATTTACTCTATGGCTTTCAATTTTTAAGAAGTGTGAAAAATGACCTATAATTTGGGTTAAAAACATAACCCCAGCATATTTGGATGTTCTTTTTGATAAATTCTAGATATTCTGCTTGAAATATGATGAATATCCTGTGCAGCAGAAGAAAGAGAAGATTCTAAATAATTGCACACAAACAGTACTAAGGACTCTGGAGTAGACAGCCTGCAGATACTTCTGGAAAGGGGAAGAAGGTATACAAAATGGATTTTTTATGCTCACCAAAGAAAGGCAAAGAGAATGAAGGACCTGAGAGAAAGAAGATGAATGCCTGAGTAAAGAACAAAAGCCATTTCTTAGGAAACCTGGGACAGGTAACTATTGGTTTTCAAGTCAGGCAATGACAGCCTTTCTATATTCTATGATTTTTTTTTACCAACCCAGATACAATTTACAACTGAATACAAGCAATTAGTTTGAATGGCAGTTGCTAAAGACTGCAGGAGAAAGAAAAGACTGGTGGGGCCTGGGCCAATTCAACCTAGAGGAGGTTTTCCTGTTGGAAGCAGCAGTAGCAAACCCAGGAGACCCTGGTAGGTGTGCTGGTACAGGTAAGAGAATCCAGTGACAGAGGAAGCCTAGACACCTTGAGTTCAAAGCCCAGTGAGAGAAAAGGACTAAGTGCAGAGTGCTCATTCCTGTCAAAAACATGACTTTAGATAAAAAAAAAAAAAAAAAAAAAAAAAAAAAAAACTGCTCCACAATCCGTATCAGCATGTATAAGGTGTAGCCGACTTTGTTATTTATTTCAGGTAATCAAACAATCAATCAATATTAAATGACTAAATATGGCCTTTCCTTACAAGGAACTTATAAACACGCTGCTAACAAGGAAATGAACCTGAGGGCAATCCACATAAGAACAGCAGTCATATGATCTTGGTTCCTAACACCAAAGAATTTCTGCCACGTGCTTGGCAGAAACTTATGTAGGGAAGGGTGAGAGCTGTGGTTTCTGGGAGTTCACATCAATGACAGTGAAAAATGAGTCCAGGCCAGAGGAGGCCAACTGCCAGTTTCAACAGTAGAGATCAGATGAGAGATTAGGTAGATATACACATACTTACATGCACACCCCCCATATGATTGACATATGGATATAGATATAGCACATCCATGTATATATATGTGTATATATATATGTATATATATAATATATATATATACACGTATATATGCACATATACATACATGCACATGCCTATTTTCAATTTATAAAAGTAAATGCATTCTAGAAAGAAGAAACATCATAACTCACCTTGCATCTCACCACTCAACTACATTATAAAACACAGTAATACGTTTTCCTTCTGGTCTAGGGATATTTAAATGTCTAGCATTTGTCAGATCAGACAAATGTGTGTGGAGAAACCGTTCAACAGTGTTATTATATCCTTTTCCTTAGTTGAGATCCTTTCAAAAGAGATATTTTGATAACAGCTCTAAGTGACTCCATCCAATGAATAAGAATTGGGACTTGGCACCAGCAGCACTCCTTTTTCTATAAACAAGATTATAGATGATAATATACACATACCCATGCACAACCATGCTATCATTACAAATAATATTCCTGCATTATACCCTAAAAATACTCTATTGAGCCTTTTTGAAACACTCTGTAATTTTCCTTAAAACAAACCACTCAAAACAAATGTTTAATATGTGTTTTTTTTTTTTTTCCTGCAAGTCCTCTATCTCAATTAAAAGTGAAAGAATTTAAGCCAACAGAGTCAGATCAGACTTTTATCAGTGCCCAGAGTAATGAATACAATCCTGGTCTTCTTGTAATTTCCTTTGTAGTGCTTACAATCATCCAAATAAAATAAAAGCAATCCAAAAATCCTCCTTAGAAGTATCTAATCTGGAGCTTTCAAATGGTTTTCAATAAAACGATTATTTCCTTCTTTTCCCTCATGCTTATGGCATTTTCAAAATGTCTCAATCAAACACCATACTTTGAGAATGTGCCATATGTTTTATGAAAATTCAGCAATTATTCAAGTCACTACTTTACTATAGTTTTTGTGTTCTCTGAATTTCCCAATTACTAGTAGAACTATATATGCAAGAAAATGGAGTCAGATTATTTTTATGAGATACTCATCCAACATCGCATTTTAAAACTTAGATAATTGAAGAAACATTCTGGAATGATCTAAACTCAACCTTGGATCTATTTCAAGATGGTTCCATTCCCCGGCCCCCGGCCCCCCCCTCCCACCCCAGTCACTAATAAAGTCCTCTCAGGAAGTGACTCATCACTGCCAAGCTTTGTAAGGCAAGGATTCTCTACCACAGCACTGCTGACATTTTCAACACATAACCCTCTGCTGGGAGGGGCTGCTCTGTGCCTCTGGGGAATATAAGCAGCATTTGTGGCCTCTACCTACTGGCACCAGTAACATCCCCCTTCCTCCTTATGTCATGATAATCAAAATGTCTGGATGCTGCCAACTTTGCTTCCTCAGGGGCATGGACAAAATTGCCTCTTATTTAGAAGTTTCCTCTACAAAGCAAATGTTCCTCAGTTTTTCAAAAACAATTTTCCAAAACCAGTCTGGGTCTATTATCCCTAAAATACATAAAACTTTGCTCTGTTTTTACCCCTCTTTATTATTGCTATTTTGTTTTTGTTTTTTTTTTTAATTCCTTACAAGAGTTGGGAGAAGTTCTAAGGTGAGAGAGCTACTTCTATATAGAAGAATCCACTGTCTCTCACTGGATTCCTCAAGTTTCCAGAATATCTTTGGATGCAAAAATCTGTTTTGACATAATATAGGCTGACCAGGAATTAGGTCTGAGAAATACAGGGTTTTAATTAGTATACACCAGCTCATTGCACTATGGTCTCTGATATTTCTTTCCAGGAATACATGACAGATACCATGGTCAGGGAAAAAGAGACAGAGAGAAAATTGGATCTTCTGCAATGTTTCTGTATTGCTATAGATATGGAAATATCAATGAACTGTAGGCCTATCCCTCCTAAACAAAGATGCTGCACTGCATTCATGCATTCATCTCTCCTACTCAGGTATTTTCAGAAAACTTACTAGCAAATTCATAAAATCAAACACAACAACCAACCACTGATAATCTTGCATCTCTGTTAAAATAGGTCATAACTAACCTGTGTGTGGATTAAGGAGGATGCTTCCGGGCGGGATGCCTGTTGCAGCTTCAAGTGGAAGGAGGATGTAGCTGGTGCTGCTGGGAGGGACTTGGCCCCCCACTGCATTCTCTGGATAGGGCACACAGCCAGGAGATCCAGCTGCCATGCCCGAGACCAGGGGTGTGCTCTGGAGAGGTGGATGGGTACGGGACAGCGATCCTGAAGAGCCTGCGCTGCTGGAAGACTCAGAACCTGGCATAGCGATATGAATCAACAAGTCATTTGGTACACAACATAGAGGACAAGGAACATGGATCTTTGTCTAAAGGCTTACTTTTCTATAACCCATCGTTAAAGTAACTGAGGTGCTTGCCACAGGACAAGATTAATAATGTTTAACTAAATATTGGGCCCACATTTCGTTGAAATCATTGCTACATATTTTTCATGGGTCTATTTTGTTTGGAAAGAGGCATTCAGATGAACACTCTCAGCTCTCAGCTTTTCCACATACCACTGGGGTAATAAATTGGGAAATGGTATCTTGAAGCTCTGAACTCAGTACTTGTGAATTCTCATATCCTTGAATAACTAATGCCATAGAGATGTCTCAATGAGTTGCAGTGGTAAGAATAACATGAATAGGATAGGGGTTGAAGACAATGCAGCCTAAGAAGGAATCCTAGTACATCCTGAATATGTGCATGGTTCTAAAGTACTGTTTCTCCAACACCCAGCTGAGTTTTGAAGGGGGGGATCATGAGGAACAACCTTTTTCTCTCATACGTGAGTAGAAAAACTAGATCATTCCTCTTGGGAGCATAGCACGAAAGAATGAACAAATCTAAAAAGCAAATAGCATCTTTTTTTCAAGGAATGGAATGGTTTAGGAGAATATGTACAGGACTGAAAGTGTCAGGGAGACATGGATAAATCAGGATGCTGACTCTTTCTAACCAGCTGACCAGGCGAAACTTTTAAACTACTGAAAATTAATTTTCTTTTGTAGAATGATAGAACAACATAGAATTTAAGGATTTAAGTTAAAAAAAATGGGAGAAACCAAATATTGGGCTTGGTATAAACAGATGATGGGCACTATTATTAGTGTTAACAAGACATATTTAAGTGCTTAAATTTTGTACTGTATTCCACATATTTGAAGAACTCTTTTTAACGTAGTCGATGACTGGAATAAGGACAACTTGGCTTTCATAATGATCAAGCATCCTTCAGTTGGAATTGAGTATTCTCAATTCTCAATTCTCAGAAGAGTACAAATATAGGGGATGTTTATGTGTTTCCAAAATATGAAGACAACTGGGTCAACGTGTAGAATCCACCAAGTAGAAATGATCCCTAATCATATAGTGTCTCCCTCCACTGTAAACAAAAAAAGAAAACATCTGTCGTATCCCATGTCTACTGGGCACTCTCTGCCTTTCAATGCAGCAAGAGCCAAACAGCTCCAGCAGCATCAAACATAGCTGTTCTGGGTACTAAGTATTAACCAGAGCATTAGAGAGAAGATACACCAAACTAAATTCTCATTATTGTAAATTCAAGCTAATAGGTGATCTGGATAATAACATGGTTTGCAAAATGTAGTAAAAACATTTATTAAGTCATCCCACAACTATTGATTTGTGTCATTCAAAATATGTTCCTCTGTGTCATAAAAGATCAAAAAATACAAGCAATAGTTATCATTCTTTTCAAGATTCTGAAAATACCCTCTTAGCTTAACTGGAGACTTTCTAAAATAAGTGAAAAGTGGATAGGACTATGACATGAAATTGCAGAGAAGAGGGGCAATTGGAAAGTCAGACAACTTTCAAGAAGGAAAACAGTAGTATTTATCAAGCACTTAGTATGTGTAAGCACCTGGATAAACATTTTAATAATAATTACTACTAACTACTACCTGTATAGATAGGGAAAGTGAACACAGAGAAGTTGATAACCTAAGTAGCTCATAGAGTTAGATAATGTCAGAACTGGGATTTGATCTAGGAAAACAGCCTCACCTTTTATGATGACTCTTCACTGCCTCCCCAATGTGTGCAAGGTGTATAACATGGGAAATCACAAGTGTCCTCAGCTGGGCATCTTCTCTGCTTTTCCCATGACTTGGTTATTAATAGTGATAAAGCTTTAGGTTAATTCAGGATGCTACCTCTGAGTAGTTTAGAATGCTCATGAGGTTCTGAATAATATATGGGGAGAAAAATAAAGGATATAAAGTAATATTGAAAATGCTAAGCATAGTTTTGAGATCACAGCACTGAAATTATGATTCGGGAGTCACAGTCTCAATGCAGATTGTCGTGTTTGCTTATAGATGCACTATGAAATAATACAACAACACCTTGCATCCAGATGCTTAAAGTCATGTAACATTGTTTTCACTTATCTCCAGGCTGAGGAGTTAGACAGCGAGAGGAGCTGGGGCCAAGGATGCACCTTCCGAATCTGAGTTGAGGTGTGGGCTAGGGCTGGCTTGGGTATGTGTTGGGGGAGGATGCATACAGAAAATGAACAACCAAAGCCAAATCCGAAGCGTGAGTTCATTTTGGCTTCAGAAAAATGACCATCAACCATTAATGACAATATTTTCCTGTCACTTGGGGGAAAAGTAACAGCATCAATAGAAAAGAGCAGGAAACAATTCAAATGATTTGATGTTGGAGGTGGAAAGAAAGAAGAAGATTAAAGTTGAATTAAGTTCTCAACACTTGAAATCAAGACATAAAGACCAAAGATCCTCAGAGGGAAGCTCAGCAATAAACATGAAGCTAAGGCTTTTTAACTGGCCTTTCAGTTTGGTGCATAACCATCTGTGTCTGCCTTGTAAGGATCTTATCAGCTAGAATCTGTAGAGCTGTAGTCTACTCACAGGCAGCCCAGCTTTAATGCTGGATGTATTAACAATAATAATAAAATGCAAAGATTAGATATATTCAAATGGTTAAAATAAATTGAAATTGATATTTAAAAATTTTAGGATTTTGGTTGCTGCAAGTTGAAAGTGTTCCAGTTTTCCCTTGTTCAGAGGCTTAATGATGGCTTTGGTCAGTATATAAATGGTATGTCAGAATTTAAATGGTACATGCAACAAGCAAGGTGCTAATCACTCCTTATGACTGTCTAGTTTAATTTTGATAGCAACCTCATTTTGAAAATGAGAGCTGATCCCCAGGCAGGCTAAATGCATTTTCCAAGGCTCACATAGTGTGTGGTGGAGTCTCAGTTCAAACCTCGGCAACTTGACTACATGAACCAAGTTCTAAGTCTCTAGGTTATTCGTTCACCATCATGTCACTTATGTGAGAGCCAGGGTCCTGACCAAGCCGGTGCCAAGTACTTCCAGACACAGAAATTTGATGTTAAGCATCAGATAGAGCACCAATTTTCCAGGATATATAAAGAACTCAAAAAAACTTAACACCAAAAAAACAAACAACCCAATCAATAAATGGGCTAAGGAGCTTGAACAGACACTTCTCAGAAGACAATATACAATCGATCAAGGAATGTATGAAAAAATGTTCAACATCTCAAGTAATTAAAGAAATGCAAATCAAAACTACTCTTAAGATTTCATCTCACTCTAGTCAGAATGGCAGTTATCAATAATACAAACAACAATAAGTGTTGGCAAGGATGTGGGGGGAAAGGCATGCTCATACATTGCTGGTGGGACTGCAAATTGGTGCAGCCAATCTGGAAAGCAGTATGGAGATTCCTTAGAAAATTTGGAATGGAACCACCATTTGACCCAGCTATTCCAGGACTTACAAACAGCATACTGCAGTGATGCAGCCATGTCAATGTTCATAGTAGCTCAATTCACAATAGCCAAACTGTGGAACCAACCTAGATGCCCTTCAATAGATGAATGGATAAAGAAACTGTGGTATATATACACTACTGTATATTACTCAGCAATGAAAGAGAATAAAATCATGGCATTTGCAGGTAAGTGGATTGATTTAGAGAATATCATGCTAAGTGAAGTAGGCTAATCCCCCCCCCCAAAAAAAAAACAAAGGTAAATGTTGTCTCTGATAAGTGGATGATAATCTAGAATATGGAAGCAGGGGTGAGGAGGGTGAGTAGGGGCACACACTCATACATTGCGGGTGAACTCACTCTTTGGATTTGGGCGTGGGATGAGTGGAGGAACTTTGGTTGGGGCACAGGGGAGAAGGGGAGGGAGCATGGGGGTAAGAAAGATAGTAGAATGAGATGGACATCATTACCCTAGGTACGTGTATAATTGCACGAATGGTGTGACCCTACTTTGGGTACAACCAGAGAAATAAAAAATTGTGCTCCATTTCTACAATGAATCAAGGCACACTTTGCTGTCATGTATAACTGATTGAATGAATGAATGAATGAATGAATGAATTTGATGTTAGGGCAGTTTATGATAGGGAAAGGAAGAATACATCAGAGTGGCTAGGTGACTCAGATGAACTCTCAAGAGAAACAGAAGAAAAAGGAGAAATGGGAAAAGAGGAGAAAAGAGATCACAAAGCAAAGAAAAAAATCCAAACCAATAGAACTGGGCTGGAAGGAAGCAGCATGAGCTGATTCTAGGGGCAGGGTGGGGGGTTGGGAGATGAGGCAGGGAGCAGTGTAGAGGGCCGGTCCCAGGTTTTAGTTTCTTGCCTGCTTCTTTCTAGCTTAGTCTTCTTCGGGAAATGATTCCTCCTTAGGCCTCAGAATACTTTTCTGTGAAATGCAAGCCCTATACTAAATACAAGGGGAACAGTGAAAAAGAAGGTGGCTTGAAGTTTCCCTTACTTGACCTAAACCGAGGCAGGTTCCTTCCAACCAGAAGCCCCTCACCTCACCTTTGTTAAAGTATTTCTTGTGCCTTTAATACATAAATCTGTCCTCTCTAACTTTCCCATGCTCATCCCAATGTTTAAAATCTCTCCCACTTTGATTTCAGTGGAGCTATTTCGGTCTCCCCTATTGGGACTGCCTTAACCCTTATTGTAAGAGCTCTCAACAAAGTTTCCGTTGCTTATTTAACCCATGCAGAACTACTTTTCTTTAACAAGAATCCCAAACCACAAAGGTTCTTTTTTTTTTCTGAATTAATTAATTCAAGAAAATATTTCCAGATCAGGGCAGGGAGGGTGTGGACACAGTCAGTAGAAGAACCCATGGTTTCCAAAATTACAGCAGAAAGAAAGTTTACCAGCATAGTACATATTAGCATAATACTAGGATGCATTAGCAATAGCAAGAAAGATTAACAAGAAGAGAAAGTAGGGAAAGGATTAGGCACCCATACAGTATGCAAAAACAGGATGTAGTCAAGGAATGTGACAACAGGGAGGATGCTCTGGCACCTGGAAAACCACTGGCCATGACACCAAAGATTATTAAAGCCAAAGGACATCTTGTATCTCTACAAAAGCTATTTGCAAAGTGTGGTTGCTCAAGAAAGAGCACTGTCTATTATCTGGAAAGTCAGACATGCACATTTCTGGGCCCCACTCCTCAGCTGCTGCCTCAGAATCTCTGGGGCAGGACCTACAATCTGTGATTTAACAAGTCCTTCAGCTGATTCAGGTGCAGCTAAAGTGGAGAACCCCTGTTCCAGAGTGAAATGGTGGATGATAATAAAACAGTAGTGTTTGACCAATATAAGAAGAAATCAATTCACTCCTGTTTCTCAACTATATTGCCATTACCAAGAAAAAGTGAGGTTGCAGTACAAACATCATTCAAGTGCTCTTCATAAGGACAATGTAATGGCAACATGACCTCCACAGATGCATGCCAGACATGTGGATGTGCTTGTACTTTCAGTCCTCAGTAAGATGCTTTCAACTAAAATGTAGGAAAGCATGCTTCTGGCATGGAAAAAAAGTCTCATTATTACCTACTTAAAGCTGAAACCCATGCAATTAAAAGAGGGGAAGAGTAACTTAAATGTCAAACTCCAGACTCAGTCTCTGAAAGTTTTTTAAAAAGTTTGCAATTCTACCTGAACAATGAAGTACAAGACATAAAAAAAAGAAAAAGAAAAGAAACTTGTGCTGATCTGAAGCTCCGTGACAGCAAAACTGACAGCTTTACTTCATAAAACCATCTTGGGAAATTGTAAGTTTGTTTTGACATCCTATCTTGAGCTTCTTTAAAAAAAAAAAATTTTTTCCCCCTTTCCATGCCTACACCTTGACAAGCTTTCAAATGGAGACACTTAAATTAAAAGAGGAAATATATATATATATATATATATATATATATATATATATATATATATATATATATATATATTGAGCACTTACAATCTCTAATCATTCTTCAAAGAACATGGCATTTTAGCATTCTTCAAGTGTATTAAATGTTTCCAAAGAGCTTTGCTAGGGACGTGATTGGGGGTTGGTGCGTGGAAAATGATGATTAATTTTAAAATCTTAAGAGCTCTTTTGGTGAGCTGGAATTTTTAAGTGCACTATTTAAGATACTTGGTTTCTGCATTTTAAGGTTTAAAAGTATTTAACCTTTCTTAGTTTATGAGAGCTCAAGAGCACCACAGTGGATTTTCTTGACTTCAGCTGCTGCAGTAGTGGGATACGAGAGCAATTAATTAGAGTAGGAAATCAAGAACTCCACAACTGGTGAACAGAATTCACAGGAAGACAGCATGAGTCCCCTGGATCTAAGAAGCACCACATAAGTATATTGTAGTGACTGTTAATTGTATGAATGCTATTCATTTTCTTCTTATGTGGGAAAACATAGGATAATTTTGTGGGAGGAATATGTCAACAAAGTAATCATGTTAAACCATCAGTGTAATGAAGGGATTTTGCAGAATTCCTTCCTCACCTGCCCTAGCCCAAGTGCAAAGTATGGTGGGGAAAGGATTCCCAATGCAGGGCAGCCCATGACTATACACTCCAACTGGGGTATCCATTCATCATTACCATCCCTGCCCAAGTTTCCACTCACCTGCAACCCGAAGCCCAGGAATGTTCCCCCAGCATATCCTAACACCTAGGGCAGATCATTGAATCACAGTTCTCAGCTCGTGCCCCTAGTAATAGTTGGGGAGTCTGCTTTTTCTCAGTTCTCAACTCCCGCCCCTAGTAATAGGGAGTCTGCTTTTCGAAGGCAAAACCAAGTGTCATGCTTCCATCAATTTAAAACTGGTCAAATAGTTCTTGATCCTGGTTCTCCTGGATCTCCCATCATCACTCACCTCCTAAAGACTGTCCATGCTAACTTGAATGATATACCTAACTCAAAGTATCACTATTGCCCAGGGCGGTGGTGTATGCCTCTAAGTCCAACCACTCAGAAGATGGAGGCAGAAGGACCACAAGTGTGAGGCCAGCCTGGGCACCTTAGTGAGACCCTCTCAAAAAAAAAAAAAAAAAAAAAGAGAAAAGAAAAGAAAGAGCTGAGAATGTAGCTCAGTGTAGGGCACTGACTTAACATTTGTGAGGTCCTAGATTCAATCCCAAGTACACACCCCCCCCACACACACACAAAATAAATAAATGAATAAAAACTAAGAAAACAATGTATATATGATATATAATACATATTTTTGCATGTATATACATATATATCACTTTATCTATCTATATCACTATATCTACATGTATATATCTATATCCATCTAACTATATAAAATTATTTATTTTGGGAGAAAAAAATCACAGAAATAAAAAAAGGCACATACTCAGAAAATCTAAACCTCTCTAAGACTCACTTAAATGTAAAACAGGCATGAAAATATTAAATGGCAATAATAAAAATGAATGAGTGTTTCCTGGGTACTTATAATGTTCCAGGTATTATTCAAGTGGCTTTGAAAATCTTTATGCTTTTAGTCTTGATAACCTTACAACATGGATACTATTATTTCCATATCTCAAATGAGGAAACAGGCAGACATAGGCAAGTGACTTACTGAGTATCATATTGACAGTATGTTAATACAAGAACCAAATCTATAAATATTTTAATATGGATAGCTGCAAGGAATGTCTTAGTATTCAATTGAAAAACAATAGCTAACTTTAATAGTTGCTATGTGTAAGTGCCATGGTAATCATTTTTATGAAAGTGATCTAATTTCAACTTCAATTAAGTTTACCAGGAAAACTTAAGTTTAAGTAACTGAATGTAAATGAAGTAAATTTCAAGTCTACTGATGTGGGTTCAAGTAATATTCTACGATAACCTACATTTTATAGATAAGGAAACTGAAGATTAATGAGTTCAAGAACTTGACTTAGGTGCACAGCAAGAGAGGGTGGCCTATTAAAACCGTACCTTCTAATTGCCTAGAATGTGATGTAATCAATGACATTGTTATTAGTTAATTCAAAGAGAGAACGGTGACAGGAAGGGTTAGGTAGAACCCCGAAACACCAGAGGACATAAACCCATTCAGTACTAACTACCTGTTTTGGACAGCTTCCCAGAACTCCTGGTACTAGACGTACTGTCACCCCTGGTCAGCACCGTGATGCCCCCAAAACTCGCCGTCTTGGTCATAGTGGGCTTCAGATTGCGGTTGGAGCTGTCGGAGTCTGTGCTGCTCCAGGCCCTCTGGTGGTCCGACCACTTGAGTTCATTCTCCGAGCTGCTCTGACGACTCCCAGATGTTCTCCCTGAGCTATCTCTGTTGCCCCTGGAGCATGGCCATCAGAAAGACGCACAGGAACAGAGTTACGGTGCACAAACGGGGTGGGTGGGCATAGATGGGGCCTTTCTTGGAAGAGTCATCTATGCAAGACCCTTCTTGTTAACCCTTTAATTAAGCCACTGGCTCCCCCAAACACTGCTACGAGCACCTTGATGATGTATAGACAGATAACACATCACATATGACACACATGTCACAAACAGAAAAACCAAACCTAGGAATGTCACATGATCCTTCTGCCAGGGAAGAAGAAGTAACTAGAAAAACATGGCATAGAATATAATTGTTACCTTCTCTTGCAGAGAGGATAGGGGGATAAGTTCTCGTGAGCCAATCCAACAATGAATTCGTGTTCAGAGGTAACTATAATTTTAAATGATTCTAAAAGGAATTCCCACGAAAGAAGGGTATTCTTTTTTTTTTTTTCTGTTTCTTCAGCAGTGAATAATTGGCTTGGAAAATCCATACAGGTCCAGAAAAGCTACTTATTAGTCTGTTTTGCAACTTTATGATACGTATCTGAACTCACAAAGGATATGACAGACAGCACAGAAGTCACAGAAATTGCTAACCCCTGGTAAGAATTACTCCTGATGAGTTTAACCTTCATGGTAGAGGAAATAGCCTTTTAATCCTTTTCACACAGAAAAGCCTGTGAAAACAACAGTGTCAACACTATACGCCATACACTGACAAGAAGCTTTCCAGAGGGGTCAGTGGAAATACCAGAAATATCTTGAAGTGAAAGATCATACTTGTTCAAAATTCAAATACAGTGAATGCACTAGAGGTAATCCAATAGCTAGAAGTGAATTTTGAAGCCTCCAGAGTAATTTAAAGAGTATGCAAAGCTGCATGTGTTCTATTAAGAAACTTGATAAAAAAACAATTGCATTTTCATTGGTTTCCAATGTGCTCGAAAAGTAACTTCGTTAATATTTCTGAAGATGGAAATAACCCATCAATAAAATATCCTAAGATTCTTGTAGATTATAAAGAAGTGAAAGGGGACATATATCATGGGCAATAAATATGGCCCTTAATTTTATATCAGTATAAAATGTGACATGTTCAAGTCCTGAATCCAGTCTCATAACTGTGATCCAGGAGCTTTGTTTAAAATATTCTTTTAAAGACAATAATTTTATTGCTATTGAGATATGCTAGAGGTCTGCATAGCTCATTTAAACACTCGCCAACTACACTCTGCAGAAGGTGCACAGAAATTTAGGTTTTGCTTCAAATGGATCCAAGAGATAATAAAAATGAAATAGCTAATCTGTGACAGGAACTTCATCAAGCAAGGGGAGAAAGTGAAACAGAAAACTCACAAAACAAAAAAAAAAAAAACATTTTCAAAGAGAACACTGGATGAAAACACTCCATGCCCTGCCACCTGCCCCGCCTCCCCATCAATGTTTCCTTACATTCTCTGTTCTCAGAACCTCAGGTCCTTGGTTTAGAAATAAGAACCATCTGAAAAAGACCAGGCTGCAGGAGGAAGTACCCTCAGCAATGGCCAGGTAATTTTAGTTCTTACATTCCTTCAAAATATAAGAAAGCTATGGGAGATAGGATACAGAAAAACTGCCCTTTCAAGAATTTGATGCTTCATTCCTGATAGTTTTTCTTTCCATATCCAAATTCAACTTCATTCTTCTCCTGTGTAATTCTGATTATGTTGCCCCTTCTTTGACAAGGTCTGGCTAAATCATTACTTAGCAATTATGAATTCACCAGGTATATGAGAATAATCTCATTTGTAGTTAATTTGGAATATTTATTATAGAAAAACACTGGCTTGCATGTGGGATGGTCCCTAACCTCAGTATGTAGGATACATCAGAAGAAGTGAGTAGTGAACCCTTTTTCCCATCACTAGTTCTGCTTCAGTATGCCTCTCCCCACGACCTGTGCATATCCATGTGAGGAATCCAGACTTCTATATGTCAGCATAGCCTAGAATTTCTTTGCAAAGGAGATAAGCACCACTCTCCCTGGATGCAAATTAGTCCTGTGTTGTACTCTATACCCTTTCACCTCGTAGAGCTATTTCTAGAGAGAAGAGAGGTCTTCTAGACTGGCCTCATCATTTGGTCAGTAAGACAACCTGAGATTTTTCTTAGCTTTATTACTTTGATTACTGACTCAACTCATCATCCCAAGCCAAGATCTGTGCATTTTTAAAATAAGTTGCTGCTTCCGGGAGTTAGCATTAATGAGATTTAAAATAGCATGTGAATCTATTTTATGGTTGTAGGTGTTCACACACTGAAACATATTTTGTACTACTCTATTCATTGATTATTTAGCCTAACAATGGCAGGGTGATGCCCAGAATTGAATTTCATATCTGTCAGAGTGTGAAATCATAGACTTTATAGAAAAACATGTCTGACAGGTGTTTCACTTTCCCTCTTAAATTCAATGCTGGACACCTCTAACTAGAATCCAGGAAAACAGTAGGAATAGAATATCCAGTCATTGGAGGTGGCCCTTTCATAGGCAACTAGAATTTAAACCTAGGAGAGACACAAAGCACATACTCTAAATTCAGTCTGTGCTGATTAACAACTGATGTGTCCATTTTCTTACATTTATGAACATTGTAATTTTTTTGCCCAAGTTATGGATGATGTGCACTCTGGATTGCCTTCACAACTGTGTAGGTGGCTTGTGCTAAGTTGTCTTTCTGAGTTTCTGTCCTTGGTCATTTTGGTAGGTGATGGAATCTATGTTTAGGATGTCTGACCTAAATATAGGGAAACTCCTCAAAGAGGGAAGTTTGGGCCCTGTGTAAACCTAACATCCTCTTGGGGGTGAAATGCATGTTTTTATCTATATTAGCCTATACAAATTAAATCATAGCGTGATTATAAGGGTAATGGTAAATTTTATTTTTTCTCTGGGTTTTCAAGAAAGAGATGCAGGATTTTTTTTCTGCCCTAGTGTAGAGGAACCAATTGTTCTGATTTCACTAAATTCAGATTTAATGGCCTAAAGATAATTTCTGAACACCCGATTTATCTATATTTCTTAGTATTTTCTTTCTTCTTAATAGGAAACTTTTTTGGTTTTGCCTTTCCTGTAGCAGAGAGGTATCCTACTATTTACAAATGTGTTAATATATCTGATAGGTTGGTTAAAAATAAAAATAGGTGTGGTCCCTCTGCATCTATGGAGCTATCATCTGAACACAGAACTTTAAAATAATTTTTTTTAATCTTTTCCCATTATCCTACACAGATCTCAATTTAAGTAGCTCACTATAATTGGAAGGAACATCATAGCCTCCTTTAGAAATAAAATTCGTGCTTAAAAATACATTTGAATATTATGAGGGAAAGTAGAGACCTAAAAATTACTTAACCAAATAGTTATCATTGATGTATTTTCCAGAGCTGGAAATATGTACTCAATTTCAAACTGTCAGAGAAATTTTAACTTGGTATAATTTGCTGAAAGAGTTTGGGAATGCTAAATAAGTGTGTTGCCAAAGTGAGTCCCGAAACACACAAAGTCAGCAGAAGAACCTTGGAGAACCACATAGAAAGAGGTAGCTTTCCAGTCCCGCCTCTCACATGATCCATACGATACCACACTAGCTGGGTAACAAACTCTGCAGTGAGAGCACGGAACATGTTTTATTTCATGAACAGAAATATTTTACACTAATACACTTATATTTAACATAGATTCTGCCACATAATCTGAAAACACAGTTTAAAAAAGTAAACCATACCAACCGAAAGAGCTGTCTTTTCTTATAGGTCTCATTGCATATGTTACTGTCTTCCAAGAGCCTACTGGAAATGAAAAACATGGTTTTTATGATATAAAACCTAAGGATACTAAATGCCTTATGTTAAATGGATGTGTACTCTGCTATAGCACACCTTTACTGTAAATTCCCACACACTATGTTTCATTTGTGCGACATTAAGTTTTGTCATAATAAATTAATGACAGTGTGACAGAATTAAGACCCCTACCCTAGGAAGAAGGCACAGATGCCAGAAAAGAAAGAAGGGAAAGAGAGAGGAAATATAGGAAACAGAAGGAGTGAGGATAATGAAAGAAATCACTATAAATATAATAAGAGATTTAACAAAACATGTAAGTAGTGGTTTTTTTCTTAAGTAATATCATTTTTATTTGGGGAGCATGATGAAATATTGAAATTCTAGAGGCAATAATTTTAGAAATAGATTTATTTTTATAGGAAAGCCACTCAATTCTAGGACCATCAGGACTTCACATATGCAAAGCGTATATGTGAGTTATTCTTGTAATGTTGAATAGAAGCCAATTGATGAATAAAATTAGGGTGTAAGGTAGGGGAAATTACTGGTTAGAAGACTAGGGAATAAGGTTTCCCACCCAAATAAATTGCAAATGCTTACTTAATACTTAATTTTTTTGTATGGATATAGAATTTGGAATGCTTCAGAATCATCACCAAAATGTTAATGCTCCTGGATTCAGTTTCCCTAAAAATAGGAAAATTTGCCAAATTCTGTATGAATCATAATTTTTTTAAACACAGAGATCATATAGACTTATTTTATAATACTTTTTAAGATAAAAGAAAATTACGTGAAGATTTCAGTTACGTGTAGATTTCCAAGTGCTAATATAGTGTGGTTTTTTTTTTCAATCACTTATCTCTAATGCCGAGTTTTAATTTATCTTGGTACTGGCATTGAATTAGTCTCCATTTTAACCAATTTTAGTGGAATAGTCATTAAGCCAACACCTGAAATAAAATTCACCAACAACTTATTTATGAATACTATATTTCTAAATCAAGTTGTAGATTTTAATACATCTTAAATGTGATTAGTCCTGTTAATATGGATTCCTTAATTTCTCCTGAATATCTGCAATTAAATCAAGGGGACACTTTAATATTTATGTCGATTTAGGTCCATTTTAAAAAGGTACTTTTAGAAAGATATATGTTAAGTGTGAAAAATGTCTAGTCTTATTCCAAAGACTATAAATTTCACAACTACCTCCCTCCACTAACTCCCAAGACAGGTGAACTGCTACATCTAGACAGGTATGCTTGCTTGCTTGCTTCCTTTGTCTTTATACCAGGGATTGAACCCATGGGTGCTTAACCACTAAGCCACATCCACAGGCCTTTTTATTTATTTTTTTAATTTTTAATATAGAGACACAGTCTCACTGAGTTATTTAAGGCCATGCTAAATCACTGAGGCTGGCTTTGAACTTCAAATCCTCCTGCCTCAACCTTCTGAGCTGCTGGAATTATAGGTATGCACCACCACACCCAGCTCTAGATGAGGTTTTCCATGTTAGCTCTTTAAGAAGATGAACTGATATTTAAGAACGAGAAACTTAAAGTAATATTATTCCAATTATTTTTTGTTTAGCTATAGAATTATAGGATAGAAGTGGCTAATAATACCAAATAAAGTCCTTTAAGCAGCCTGCTCAATAAGCCAATAGAGTTGCAAATTCCTGTGTAGACTCAATATTTCCTCGTTTCAATGCCTGGGGAAGGTAACAGGAATTCCGCCTTGGGAAGGACACAGGATTGAGACTAAATAAGGAAACTGTTTAAGCCTCTGTTTGAAAGTAACTGAGAGAACTTTTTCCCCAAATTAAATACTCTTTAGACATGCTAAATAACATAAGTGAAAATATATGTGTGTTTAGACATGTTAAATAACATAAGTGTGAATATATATGCGTGCACACACAGATATATGTATTTATTTATACATATATTTAAGCACACTTATATATGGGATATATATGTATATGGGAATATACAGGACACACACGACAAACTATTCTTCTAACGACACAAAAAATAAAATTTCATTTTACCTGTTTTCCACATAAAGGCTTTCCTGGGAGCAAACTGACTGAAAAATAAAAGAAAAGCATTGTATCAGATGTTCTGGATATGCTGAGGGTGGTCCCAAATCCTTTCTTGATTTTAAAATTACCTTTCCCCTCCTAAGGGAAAAGTATTAAGAAAAATATGTACAAAAGATGGAAATTTAAAAAAGGAAAAAATATAGGTTAGTGTTAGAAAAGTCAACGATTCTCATGTAGCACAGGGGATATGTCCAGGTTTTCAACAGATTGAGCACCATTCAGCCTCATGGTCAGAAGAGAAATGTGAATGAAATTGCTGGAGAAACTCATGACCACCTTCAGAGTCTGAGCAGCGAGTGGTTTCTTCTGGAGCTGTGGAGGTACAGTCACCAACAGAAGCCAGGGGAACAGGCTCAAATCAAGGCACAGCATGCAAGGTTGGATGAATCCACCTAAGAATGGGAGAAGTGTGAAGCCACAATTCTACAATAACATACCTGGCAACTATAAACTCTCACAAAAGAAAGAGATTAACCACTGGTCTCTCAAAATTGAAGAAATGCCATCTATCTGTGATCATAATAAGTAAGGAGGATAGAACACAAGTTTAATGAATCAAACCTAATTAGTAAAAAAAAGAAAAAAAAACCTATCAAACTCCATCTGATATTTCTTAGTTTTGCACATAGAAAACCAATGACTTTAGTTTTTCTTTTTTTTTTTTTACATCTGTTTGCCTAGAATTCATTTCTCTCTTACATTGTGGTTAATATACCATGTGGGGAAGATAGAATTCTGTCAGAATTACATGCTGGGGAATGGTGAGTCAGATTAAACTTAAACAAGCAGAATAAGAGAAGTCTAGGCAAATTATGGTGCTGGGACACAAGACCACTTTCAAAGTATTAAATTTATAAATATAAGTATACAAGCACCATATTATGTGTATATTTTCTAAATGATAAGTGACCATTAAAGGCATAAATGGAGACATAGCTGGTCTATTTTAAGATAAAACAAAACTGAAGAAATACTAACTAATGACCTTTCAATGAGCCTTGAACTAAAAGATGTTGCTAATGTAACCGCCGCTCAAAGAGGCAAGCAGGATATTGGTTTCTCTTTTCAATTTGCTGGAGAAATCATTTCCTTCCACTAAGCCAGAGGGGATGGAGTGAGACATGGTGTTTTGCTCAGTGGTCTGAGCATTCGGTGAAGACATCTCTAGAATCATTTGTTTCAACCTTTCTATATTGAAAAGGTATCCATAATCTCAGGTGTGCAAAAACCTTAACGTATCAAAAGGCAAAAAGAGCCAATTAAAATCTCTACTTTCAGAAAATAGCTTTTTGAAATTTGACATTTATATGTAGAAAGTGAGGAAAATACAAATAATGTGCCATCAACATTATTCCTGTAAAGATCTTTTCAGGGTACATTAAACACCCTAACCTCTTTATTTCTGTTAGTTTGGTTTTGCTACCTACCAACTTGAGTCAAGTCATGGTATATAAAAGAAAGTGAGGTTGTTTCAAGGTATACATTATAAGGTCGATTCTCTGCTACTTTTCAGCTCAACATCAGTTGGAAAGGGGTCAACTAAGTTTATACTATTTTGCATGGGACTGGACTTATCAGGAAATCCACTTCTCATAAGAAGGAGTTTTTCATAATCATACCGACCTCTTCAGATTTGTGAATCTAATAGCATTTGGGAGGAAATGAAGCAACTCAAACTTTTTGAATAAAAAGTAAGATTTTCAAACTCTTTGAATAAAAAGCAAGTCAAGGATACCTTTCCAAAAAACATAACTCAAAAGTATTTTTCTGACTTTTGTGGAAAGGTCCATAATAAATCATCTCATCACCCCTTTACCACATTTTCATAAATAAGACACAGGTGGTTATTAGCTATGATTCAATAGCTGATGAAAATAAAACTTTTTAAAAAATTATATTAATAACTTGCACATTTAATAGCAGAGAAGGATAAAATTGTCACAGTAATTAAGTGCAACATTCAAAGCTGTCACTTATATGCATTCCAAGATATAAAAGGCTCCCTTTTCAAAAAAGGAGAAAAATGATTTTGCCTAATGGGTTACAGAGTTCTCTCCCACATCCCGCCCTCACCTCTGGTGGCATCACATATCCTTGAATCCTTCTCCCTGAAGAGGGATCTCAGTGTGTGCTGGGAAGACCCTGGACAAGCTCCTCCCTAATTTCCAATTTATACACAGATATCCTTTGCCAATTACCATCCAGGCAAAACATAACTTTCCCAATTGTATTGTTTTCTCAACCAAATTTCCCCAATTTAGCAACGTCATACAAAATTAACCATTAAAGAAGCTGAAATCCTTGCCAAAGTAAAAGAGTTGGATCCCAAATATTACTGACTATAAAAACATGATAATTTGTTATTTGAGAGCTAAATTCTTCTGCACTCTGAACACCTATTTAGCTCTCAAATAATTAATTAATGTATCTAATTTCAAGATACTCAAATTAACAACCTGTATTTGAATTTTTTTCTAGAAAAACCACCAAAGCAGCCTGCATTTTTGATTATGTGCCTGCATATAAAAGTGCATACACACCCTCACACTCTTCACACACTCACACACACCTTAGACAACAAGATACATATGGAAAATACACAAAAACATCTCTAATTTTAAAATAAATTTGATTTTTATTCAACTGTAAATACTAGAAAGTATTTCTCATCTCATTGTTGCTTCAAGTAGCAAAAAAAAAATTACGTATGCTTTTTCAATATTTGAACTGCTTTGACTAACTAATTACTGAAGAAAGCTGATTTTGTTGGCTCAATTTTTAAATTATGAGAAAACTAAATTAAAGATGATCTAAGAAAAAGATTATATTTCTATAATATAATTTCCTTATGCTGGATCCTTTGCATTTGTTTTATAATTGACCTAACTTACTTTATTACCTTATGAAAGAACAATTCTGTGCCTCAACAGTTTGGGCAGTGATCAGTGATCACTTGGGAACCTAGAAATGTACAGATGAAAGCCCCCTAATATGTGCTGTCATGATGTAAGTGGTGAGGGAGATCTGTTATTATGTGTGCTATTCAAGAAAGTTTATGTTGCTATGCTACGTCCTTGAGAATTTGTGTCATAGAGGATACAGTACTGTTCTGTTCATATAGAGTCGCCCCCAAAACTCCCTGCCTCTTAAGATTCATGACATTATGTGGGACCTCCAACACTGTTCTGAGGTTGGTATGTGTGTCCAATAGACTATGGCAGAAAGGAACATACATTACTGCCGAGACTAGATTATATAAGACTGTGGCTTCCATCTTTGGATGTCTCTGTTTCTCTCTTGAATCACTTTCTCCAGAGGAAGCTAGTTATCATTCACAAAGACACTAGCAGATTGTGGAAGAGCCCACCTAGTAAAGAATTGAGACTTCCAGGCTATTGCCAAGGAAGAACGGAGGCCTGCCAATAACGACTTGAGTATGTGAGTATGGACACAGGCAGTTACTCAGTGAAGCCTTAAGATGATAGCTAGACACCTTGAGTTAGAACTATCCAACTGAGTCACTCCCAGCTTCCTGACCCACAGAAATGGAAATAAGCATTTTTGTTTGTTTGAAACTGCAAAATTTTCAGATAACTTGTCATACTGCAATAAATACTTAAAGACCTAGTGGTATACTTAAGTATCTCTAGCAAGTTATAGGGTCAGGTAGAAAGACAATGGACACATGTTCATGCACATAACATCTTATAAGTGATATTGGAACTTCCATTTGACTCTGGAAACCCTTCTGTGAGTGTATTTTCTGTATAGGTTACTAATTTTAAAGTCCTATCCTTTGATGGCAGGTTCAAAGTAGTGCCAGATACAGGATGGTGCCCCATTTAAATTATTAAAGCCAGAAATGGTCACCAGAGAGCCTAGGAAAGCAGCTCACATCTCTGTGTCTGCAGAGGGAACAAGTCACATCATTTGAAAGAAGGCTGCCAAAGAATGTGGTGCAATGAAAAGGTTAAGGCCCTGGCTTGGAATTTGAGCTTTTTCACAATTAAGTCTGCTTTTACTTTTCAAAAAAATGTTAATAGGGCTGGGTGTGTAACTCAGTGGTAGAGTGCTTGCCTGTCATGCGGAAGACATGGGTTCAATCACCAGCATGTCAATATAAATAAATAAATAGAGCAAGTGGCCATGAAGTCTTTAAATGGCCTGCTATGGTTTAACCTGCATCATAGGTCCCCAGCAACTAATTTCTTTAGCAGGGTGATAAGGAAGTCCGCATAAAGAGGGTTGTGCAGACTCCTGATCTCTGAGATGACCGTGACTGCTCAGGGACCTGAGAATCACTAAATGAAGGCAGCACAGGCATCATCCTCAGCCCGACAGCCATCTATCTGAAAGAGTTCTTTCATCACCTATCTCTGTGATACAACTTTAAAAAAAAAAAAAACGTAATACTGCTATGCATTGTCTGCAGTCGGTATTTGTTTCTCAATATAACAACTTGTTCACAAATCGCCTAACTTGTCAGAACCAAAGCATGAGAAAAAAAAGTGTGTACATGTGTGCATGAGAGCAATAGTGCATGTAGAACAGAAGAATAAAAAAACTATCTGCCAAAAGGACTATCTGCCAAAAAAAAAAAAAAAAAAAAAATCTCTTTGTGAAGGCTTTAGGAACGAACATGCTGCCACCCAGCCTACTGTAGGTATTCTTTCCCAATTGTGACAAAATTAGATCCTCTCATCACTTCATTCTTGTATCTAGCAAATGCAATGAAAACCCCAGTGTGCCAATCTGTGCTATGTCCCACCAAAAATTATGTCTACAGCAAAAGCCTAAGTAGCCCCTACATCTGCAGAATCTTATAGAATTGCATCCGGACCTCCAGTCATGGAGAGTTCTATCTCACTCTCACACTCTCCCCATTTCAGAGTTCTAGGGCACCTGTCATCAAAATTCTATTTTAGTGTATTCTAGAAGATTGGGGTTGGTTCAAATGTGAAAGAAGTGCAGTTAGAAGAGGATGAATCACTCCTGCAGCCTTAGATGAAGGAACCAGCACTTGCAGAAGGTCACAGACACTGGCTTGGCCTGAAGCCACCCAGGACAACAGCACTCCTGCTTCTGTGCTGAGCATTGACGCCAAGCTCTCTAGGCTGGACTGTGTGGTCTCTAGGAACAAACTGTAGCAGGAGTCAAACACTGTCCCTGCTGAGGCAAAGCTGAAAGCCTTGGCCATGGAGAGCACCACAAAGGAGCTCACATCTTCCCTTCTGCAAAGGAAAGAACCCACAATGTTTGAGGAGGCCCCAAGTGATTTCCTAGAATGGAAAGCTATAATGACTACTTGCCCTTTTAAAGTCCTTGCATTTAAACCAAACTTTTACTTGTTTACTTTTTTTTTTAATTTCATTTAATTGCATTTTCTCTTGGCCATAGTGGGTGAAGGCTAAAAAATATTCCTGTCCCATTTTCTTTGTTAGGATTTGAACAAAAGAAATTGTTTTATGATTACTTCCTTGACAGACTATTCTCTGACCTGAACGGATCTGAAATCAGGGGGAAAAGATGAATTTGATTATCTAACTTCAGGAAAATGAAGAGTCCATATTTTCTAAAGACTCAGAAAATACTCTGGATATTTATATGGTTCTATGTGTGTATATGATCAATGGGCTGCTTTTTGTGATTCTTTCCTCTGCACAATGTTGGTGTACTAAAATATACACTAACAGGTGATCTGCTGCCTGATATGGATGTTAAGGTACTGTTGCAAATCAGATATCCTTCCTTGGTACTGAAGGTCTGTTTTGTTGACTAATGTTAAACCTTTCTACTCCTATCAGTCATACCCTAGGAACACACCCAGACCCTTGGCTAGTTTTCCATCACTTCCCTGAACCAGGTCCTCTAAACACCTCTGGTTTGCTGCAATTCGATTTGTTCCCTGGCTCCAGTCTCCTTACTTCCTGCCAGCTCACTGTCTGGGGAATGAGGCTGCCTTACTGCTGATGGAAGGACCACACTAAAGAGGCAATTAAAACAACTACTCACATCGTGTGCAAATATTCTCTCCCTCACTCTCTGATATTCCTCTTCTCTCTCTTCAATTGATTTACTTCGTCTGTCATCTCTAAATGGATGCATTCTGTTTTGCTGAACAGAAAAAAGAAATCAGGACGGTTATCCAAGTTGAGTTGTTAGAAATCTGCAGTTAAGCAACTGTCAGCTAAGAATAATAAATGTTCATTTAAACAAATGGAGCATGACAAGTCTCACTCCCTCTGGCCCCTAAGGAGGCTGTTTGGGGTACATGTATCATGTGTGTGCGTGGCATGCAATGACTACAAATGTTTGCTGCTGCTCCTGGTTGCTGCCTTGCTGGATGCAAGTAGCACAGGTGCATCTAAAATGTACATGCCTGAATGTACCTTGGGTGTTCAGCCAGTGCAGGTATGTAGTGGCTCACCAGGGATGGATTCTGTCTCCCTTGCAATCCTGGATAATCTGACTCCTCAGAAGGAGTCCAAATGCTTATTTAAAATTAAAAAAAGAAGAAGAAATGGCTAGTTCAAGGTGACTGAAGGAAGAAATGGCTTTGAAAAGTTCAGAACTGGACAAAATGTAAGTGAACAAATAGAGTGGGGGACAGAAAAAAAGATATGGATACAATCTCTTAATTTGCATTTTTATTCACTCAGTGACTGATTCTGTGACTTGCACCTGATATAAGAAGAAGGACCTCAGGCTTATAAACTAAATCTAACAAAACCTGTTTGTTGATAAGGGTCAATAGAAGAAAACTAAAGAAAACAATTCAAAGAACCCAGCATGAGGAGTGCTCTTCATTCTCTCATCTGACTAGTTCCTGCATCTCAACTGCCTTCCTAATTTTCACCATCCCTGACCAAATGCTCTGCACTGACCGCATTCACCCATCCACACGACAGACACCCACTAAGTGCACCACGCAGGCACATGTCTCATGGGCAACATGAGCCACGGTGTAGCTCGGTGGTGGTGGTGGGAGTAAACGAGATACAAATGATGAACAGGTTTCAAAAAAGTGCGTCAGATATGCACATACTGGCTTTCAGTGACTCACAGAGAGTAATTAAAATAACTTGAGTGAGATGCATATTGTCTTACCTTTAAAAATTCTAAAGCAAAAAGTCATTTCCAAAAAAAAAAAAAAAACTATTTTGATTGTCAGAGACACAAAGTATAATTGTAATGGCATTCAGCTGACTTTCTACTGTGCTTGTTATCATTTAAAAATTTGTTTTACTTAGTGTTCTTCCTAGTCACCCTGGACCCCACATCCTCCCCCCACTTAGAGAAAAGATTTCGTAAAGTCTCTTTACCCTTGTCGGAAGTACCATGATTATTGCTACTCTAGAACAACACAATGTTTTGTCACAAACAATACACAAGGATAAAGTTCTGCTACACTTCATGCAAAACGAGCAGACAGTTTACATGGACCATAAAACATGGGCAGGAGAAGGGGGTGGGAGACTAGAACATGAACTCAAAGTCTTTTCTGTGAAGTCTTATTTTAGGATAGTTGCAAAATCCACCTGTCCTCACCATAACAAGGTTTGTTCTTTACAGCTACACCGGTTGATCATCGGTCCGTATTGAAAATCCAGCTCAATTTGTGCACAACTGAAGGACAAAGCTGTAGGGAGTGGAACGACTGCCAGAGTTACACAGACATCTGGAAATGCGACTGACAAAGCTTTTCCCCACAGCTTGGAGCCTGTGGCACCCCGACCCGCCCCCACCACAAGACATGCAGCAGGAACTGCGCCAAGCACCACCCATGCAGCCCAACACAGAGCCATTGCTAAAGCAACCAGACAGTTTTTGGCTACCCACTGAATGCCAAAGGGGGAGGCAAGGGGAAGCCAGGGTTTGGAGAGAGGGCAGTAGTATCAGAGGCAGGGGAGGGCTGGGAGGCGAGGAGGGGACAACAGAGGAATGACAAGAACATCAGTCAGCCCACCTTCAAAAACAACAACGTCAGCCACTCTCAAACTTGAGAACCAACCTGATTGTCTTCTTTATCAATACTAGAGTTATCTCGCTTCAAGATAAACCGCTTCTGGGATTCTTCACCTTTTTCATCTTTTAAATGTTCACAAAACCTTTGCTCTGGTCTGCCAGCAAAGTAAAACATATCAATAAAAAAAGTTTTTCCTCTGTTTAAAGTTATCTCTTAGTGTTTTCCCCCACCGTGGCATTTAACTTTTTGAAAAAAAAAAAAAAAGTTTAGAAGTTGTTCCGATATTAGAGTTGCTGGCAATATACAGGCAGGGATTCTTTACATGTTGCTAGAATAACCTTTTGTTGTTTTGAATTCAGACTCTTGGTTGCTGCATGCTGATCACCATAGCTGAAGTTAAAGAAAAAAATTTAAAGACCTGCACATTTAGACTGTATATAGATGTTCTCTTCAGTGATTTTGACCTCCATCACTCCTGAATTCAAACAAATTCCCACTCTGATTCTCAAACAAATATACAGGGTTAGTACATTAATCCACCAATGTCTGGAAACTTGGAGAATACTTCTCATGATATCTTAAGAGTCTTCTGAGTCTGTAGCAGGAGCTGATCATTTAAAAATTGTTTGTGACAAACGTCCTGGAATCTTGCTCCACTAGACTGACATTCTTGACCATGTTTGTAAATCAGCTCAGTAATTGGGGAAATGAGATATTTAGTTTAAACAACTCAATGACTGATTCGTATAGGGGAAAAAATGCTCCAAGCAGTTACACACTATTGATTAGTCAATTGATTTTTTTTTTTAGGTTCTCTTAATCACTTGGTATTATTGAAGGGAAGGGCTCCACTTCTTTGTTAATTTCCCACGATGTCACTATATACCAGAGAACTCAATGAATGACCTGGTCTTGGGTTCATCCACAGAGGAAGTACAAAAATATTTGTCCCTAGTTTAGAAGCAGTTGTAATTTATGACTTTCATTAAAGAATCTCTGTCATGTCTGATATATTACTTCTAAAGCTTAGGGGGGTTCTATCCCTGCTGGGTTCATTATTCCTTTAGTCATTGGGACTCCACTGCAGTGCCTGTTGTTTGAGGTGGGTGACCAGTAATTAAGAAAATCTCATCATTTGATTATACTACAAAATAAGCAAGTAGCACTTTGAAAACAAAGAAGTAGCTTCAGTGTATAATTCAAACCTTGATGAGATGCTTTCTTTTCTTAAATACATGGATATAAATTATAATAACATTGATGAGCAGGTAATAGTAGAAAACTGCAATAATATCAGTTACAGTTTCTAGAGCTGTTTATAATTGTTGCAAAGCAGTGCCACTACCTTGTTCAATCCTTATAGTAAAAGCTTGATGCAGTAAAAGCAGACATTTTTTGCCTATTTTAAAGAATAGGAAACCATCCCTTAGTGATTCTTTTTACTGTATAGATTGGCCTACTAAGCCACAGGCATCCAACAGCCTGGTTACATTCTCATAGACACTTGGTTCAGTCCCTTTCTAATTTCACCATGCACATTGAGCTGACAGAACACAAACCTCTATCACATCACTTTAGTGATCAACGTGAACATTTCCCACCCAACTTAAAATGTAATCAAATGCAATACACATTCTGGAATCAGAACTATAACATTAAAAATTGCAACATAAGGGCTGGGGTTGTGGCTCAGTGGTAGAGCACTTGCCTTGCAAGAGGCACTGGGTTCGATCCTCAGCACCACATAAAAATAAATAAACAAAATAAAGATATTATGTCCATATAACTAAAAATAATATTTAAAAATTGCAACATAAGGAATGAATAAAACTGCACTTTATAGTAAAGGAGCCATGTACAGTAGAGAAATAAAACATCATTTGGAGTAGAATAGTCCCAGGACACTTCATGTATATCGGTGAGTCTGACAACAGCACTGTGTAATTGTGTATAGTTTTGGGTCACACTAAGTGATAAAAATTCTCCAGAAGTTTTTTTAGCTGTCACTTTCAAAAATATTTATACATTGTTATATAGGTTTTTTTTATAGCAAATGAAATTAGGATGTTGACTTAAATAAGGATATTGGTTGTGTCAATCTTAATTAGGTTTCTTCTAATGTCCCTGGGCTCTGCAGGCTGATAAGCTCTAGTGAGTGAAATGATTCGTTTACATTTACAGATTTTTTTTTGTCTTCTTTTTCTAACATTCTGTAATTGTTCACATAAAAATAAGGTGGTCTCAGAATGTGGACTTTTTGATTTGTGACCATAAGGTGAATGAATATGTTCTAAACTAAGTCTGCTTCAAGATCAATGACATTAGTGTGTGAATTCAGAATGGCAACTAGAACTAGACTTTAAGTTTCATGTACACAAGACTTTGTTTTTTCATTTTTGTGTTTTTGGTCCTAGGGACTGAACCCAAGGCTGCTGTACTACTGAGCTATATTCCCATTCCTTCTAATTTTATTTTTATTTTTTATTTTGAGATAGCTAAGTTGCCAAGGCTGACCTCCACTATGATCCTCCCACATCAGTCTGCTCAGTCACTGGGATTACAGGTATGCCATCACACCCAGGTGGATCTTGTTTTTTAAAATATTTAACCCTTGGTGCCCACATTCATATGTGGCACCCAGGAAGGATTCAGTCAAATGAATAAATTAATATATGAATGATTAAAAATTTAGTACAGCTATTCTTAAATCATCATAATTCAGGGAAAGATTAAAAGAGTAAAAGAATAAGATATGAGGACAAATTCTGTAATTATAAAACAGAACAAGAAAGAGTTTTTAGTAAAAACATAAATTAAATTTAGAGAATCAAGGGCCAGGCACTGTGGCACAAGCCTGTAATCCCATTGGCTCAGGAGGCTGAGGCAGGAGGATGGAGAGTTCAAAGCCAGCCTTAGCAATGGTGAGAAGATAAGCAATTCAGTGAGACCCTGTCTCTAAATAAAATTCAAAATAGGGCTGGGGCTGTGGCTCAGTGGCCAAGTGTCCCTGAGTTTAGTACCCAGTACCCCAAAACAAAAAAAATATTTAGAGAATCAAGAAGATCTTTAAAAATTGAATTTGTGGGTGCTGGGAATATAGCTCAGTTGGTAAAGGGCTTAACTCACATGCACAAGGCCTTGGATTCAATCCCTAGCACCACCAAAAAAAAAAAAAAAAAAAAAAAAAAAAAAAAATATATATATATATATATATATATGTTGATCAAAATTAATCATATCATAGAGATGTAAGTATACCTAATATATATACATGTATTTAAATATATTATATGTGTATAATATGTATTTTATAATTTATATGTTTATATGAATACATAGTACATATAAAACTTTACTACATGTATATGTATTATTGTTTTCAATCTGAGAGGATCCTTGGAAGGAAGAAAGCTGGAAATGAGAATCTTAACTCTCCTAGTTTTGAAACATTTCAGTTTAAAGTGTCAGAAGAGAGCTATTTGAATATTATTTTAAAATTCCATTTCCATTTTTAATAGTTCTGTTTATTTGTTTTTCAGAGCAGGGTATATTTAGGAAAAAAATACATCAATTACATAATTAATCAGAAGTCTTGTTCCAATCAATAATTCAAATATTTAAAGAATATTACTTCTTCTGATGTAATTTATAAAATGTGCATTCTCAATAACTGCTTTGCAAATATCTTGTATAAAATTTTTTTCAAAAATTAGAATGCAGTAATTTAAATTAAAAATCCATCATGTTTTTTTCTGAAAAATATTTTGAATGATTATAAAGTAATCATTTAAAGTTAACTTTAAAAAGAATTAAACAAACTTAGTAATATTTTTCTAGGTTGGTTTTATAGAGAACTATTTATGACTCTAGAGCTAAAAAGCAATTTTGGTTTAAGTTCATACAGACTAAGGTATACAACTGAAATATTGCAGTGATTAAACTAAAAATTACTGATAATGCACCATTATATTACAGCTTTTAAAAATCCCTTTTACAACTAATTTAACACCATAGCAATATTATTTCTGAGACATAAAATGAACGAAGCTAAAATAATATATTATAGGCCTTTATTTAAAAGGGTAATGAGTTACTTTTAATATATTAATGTGGGAATGTAACTCTAAAATTCTCAAAGCTACAAAAGGTCATGGTATTTATTAAATTGATGATGATTGGACTCTACTATGTGTCTCATGGCCATGCATCATACATGCCTAATTTTTCTTTTCCTTGTGGATTTTAGCCTTATGGGGTATTCTTTCTAGCTCCAAAATGCACAGAAAATAAATTAAATGCTTATTTTATATGGAAAATAGTTTTCTCAAGGTAAAAATGTATTTTTCCACAATTCATAGCACATATCTACTGTGAAACTCATTCCTCACATGAAGTGAATAGGACTTGCATTTCCAGTCAGTTTCTTGGCATTCCCAGTAAAAACCCCGGGAAGTCAGAACTAACTCCTCACTGTTCCTTAATTAGACATAGCTCATGAATTGAGAAGCAGGGTTGCTGGTGAAGATAATCAAACTCTGTCTTCCAATCAATCAAATTCCAATTTTAGTTAGATTTATTTCCCCTGGAAGCTTGAAATAGATGAATACTCATTATTATTTTAAATATTTTTTTTTGGTCATGAAGTATTTGAAATGGTTTACCCAATCTAATAGGTTCCTGAAAACAAACTTATTACTTTTCTTCCAAATAGTTAAGTTTGATCCCTTCCTACATCCACACATAATTAAAGAATTTAATTCTAAATATGTTGGATTGCAAAGAGAAGTCTTTGAATTTCATTCCGAGTAACTGAAAGGTGGTCATTAATATGCATAAGTATGTCAAGAAAGAAAGGGTTCTTGCAAAGAACAGAAAAAAAAAAACTTTTGATGGTAAGACATTTATCAAATACATTTTTGTTGCCAACATAGTAGAGAAAATTATATGACACTATTATCTTAATACTTTGGAATTTACAATTAAACATGTCTAAAATTTTGGCATCATTTTTTGAAAATAAAAAGAAAATCCTATATTCTTAAATAATTTAATCTCACCATTGCCCTTATCAGTTTGTCATTTTATACCACTTCATTCTCTTTTCAATGTGACTAAACCTTATAAATCTAACATATAAAGTATTAGTAGCCAGCT